ACAAACCAAACAACAAAGCCGAAAACAACAAACCCAACCAAGTATTTGTAGTATAGGTAAATTCCCCTCTAATAACTAGGACTGGAATGAAAGTCAGTCACAGTCCGGATTTAGCTGTTGTAAATCTTGACTTCTAGTGTAGTTCTCATCTCACTTTTCCTACCTGTTTGGCAAAGGACTGGTCTGCCACAGGGAGAAACGATTCTGCTCTTTCACCTCGCTGTAAGCGAGGTGAATTCTAACCATGCACTTGGAGGTATTTAGAGATATTTACATCTATACTTTATTCAATACTTTTTAACATCTTTCTTCTCTTGCAGATCGCGAGGTACCAAGCCACTCTGAAGCCTCATGATCTGAAACTACCTTACTTTCAAAATTAAAAAGGAACAACGTCGAAAACAAAACCTCTCAGCTGTCCTTCCTCCAGACACAGCAACACAAATCCCTTTCCTATTATTTAACCACAGCTATAACCCAACAGCTTTTGCCTTTTGTGATTACCGTGCCAGAAGAGAATATTTACCATGATTGTCGGTAATATCCTTAGTGCTTTCCCTTCCCAACTCTTTCTTGCACATAGAGACACAGACACAAGCCTCCCTGCCTTTTCCATCCCTTGATCAGTTTGCAACTGGATGGTTTGGTTCATTTGCCCCTTTTTTATACACCATTTGCAAACTTCTGTGTATCCGGGCTCTCTGCGGGGTGGTGATGTGACCCTCTGCATTTTGTACTCGTGCGTGTGTGTGTGTGTGTGTGTGTGTGTATTGGTGTGTGTCAGTCTGCACACCCGTGTGTGTGTGTGCACTCTAGAAAAAGGCAATGTTTGTCTGTCCTCTCCCTACATGTGGAATCCAGGCCAGTGCGATGTGGAGCTCAATAAGAAGCTGCATGAATAAACACGAATAGAAAGTTGTGCTCAGCTAACCGAGGAAATCAGAGCAATACCAGGGCACCAACGTCCACATTTCTTTTCACTTCGGGCCGGGGCAGTAACCTCATCTGGGTATGCTAAAAATTAAGGGCAACGGGCAAGCAGATTCGAGTCCCTCGAAAAGGCTGCTGTAATTGATCAGACAGAGAGAGATGAGGGTGACCGAAGCCCGCGTCTGACCGTGGAGGGCCAGCAGCAGCCGTGGCCCAGCAGGCACACAAAGGACCCCCGGCCATGCTAAAGGGCTCGGGCAGCGACCACGGAGAGAGAGGGAGGGAGAGAGTGAGGGAGGGAGAGAGACAGGTGGCGTCGGTGGTCCTCAGACCTCCACGCCGGGTGGCACGCACGCCAGTGAATCCCCAAACAGGAGCTAGTTGGGGACGAAGGCAGTGTTATAGCGGCTTTATAGGCGAGGGATGGGCGGTGAGGGGGTTAACTACTGTCTCCAAACTGCTCCGGAACCGGCTGCTCGCGGCCCGACTTCCGACGGGCGGGGCGGGGCAGTGCCCCCGCGGCGGTGGGCGAGAGGCGGCGGTGCGGGACTGAGCGGGCCGGGGAAGCAGCTCGGTGGGCTGCCGTGTTCCGGCCATCTGCCTGCTGTCCTCCGGCTTTCTCTTAAATATTGATCAGACGCACTTCACCTTCTGAGTAATTTCGTCTTAATCAGCGGCCGGGCTCGGCGCGGATAACAAACTAATGCTGGAGAGGGTCTGTGGATAATGCCGGGCCAGGGGCAGGGAGGAGGCAGCCCTCCGGTTTGGCGGGGCTCGATAGGCCCTATCTTCCCGGGGCAGATGGACTTAGTGGGCGAGAAGGCTTAAACGGAGCTTTTCATAGATTTACACCTCAATCAGCCATTCAGGTTTTTTATGCAAATCCTAAAACAACATAATTTATCCATTACCAAAGCCCGGCTTTGAAACGGCGTATCATTATCTGCACCCTTGGCACCCCGAAACCGTGCAGGCACCAAGGACCGATGGATGAGATGCGTCCTCTCCCCCCCACAAACCCTGCCCGCTCCAGGGAGAGGCGGACACCCCCAGCGCGGCTGGGGCAGCTCCTTCTTCGGGTTTGGGCTGGGGATCCGACCAAAGGAGCAACTTTCTGCGGGTGGGGGTGACAAATAGCGTGGGAGAGTAAAGGCCCTGCCCTTAAGCTTAAGCTGCGCTGGAGCTTAAGGCCAAGTACCGGTGGGCGAGGCTAAGGGCGATCTCTGGCCTCCCCTAGCAGCCACGGCACGACAGGGCGATCTTCGGGAGGCTTAATCAGAGGGAAGAAAAATCCAAACCTATCAGTGTGAGGCTGAACTGAGGTAGATTATTGCTGCCGGCTTGACGCCTTCTAGCTGCAGCTTCGAGACTCGAAAAGGAAAAGAAAGAAAAAAAAATATGTCCCAAACTTTCATGCCTCTGAATCTTTCAGGTATTAAATTCCGTTTAAAACACTGCTGGATGAGAACGACACTGCTACCAGACAGAAACAGAAATACTGCCTTTTAAAACAATGTACTGACATCAAAGACCTTCCTACCCAGAGCTGGAAGGCCAGTTTGTTCTTCTAAAGGCTTCTCCACTGCCTCTCTGCCGGCTGGGAGAGAAAAAGCAGCCCAAGCTCTAGCGTGAGACCCGGCGAGGGTGCCGGCCACCGGAGAACCTTTTATCCCCTCCCGGGTAATATTTTTCCCCTTCAAAAAGCCGCGTGTGGGAGGGGAAGAACTAGGTCCATCACAGCACCCACGCGGAACACGGGAGCCCTATTGTGTTTCTGCCCCCAGGCAATTCCCGTCCACTTGGGTTTCGTACGACCGGAATTCATTTTCTATCGACTCCCCACTCGTGTTGACGACGGGCCAGTGGCACGGCCGGAGCTGCCCGTGGGGAAGACCCCGCTGCGGAGCCGCGCGTCAAGCGAAGCCCGCGGGGCGGGGGAGGCGAAGCACGACGGGGCGGCCGCTGCCTCGGGCCCTGCGTGTCCTTCACCTCCGTGGCTCCCGCCGCACGCCGGAACGTGCTCCCTACGGCCTTTCCTCAGGGGAACCTCAGGTGTGTGAATGTATTCACACAGCAGTTTAGTCCTTAAAATTACCCATTTGTGGCTTGGTCTGAAATCTCTCACCCTATGGCGGTTCTCCCAAATCCACAGGTAGGCTCTTGAGGCGGGGGAGGAAGGGAGAAGGGGGAAAGAACACTTTCTATGTCCCTCCTCAGACCTAGCTCGGACTTCAAAAAAAGGAGGGAAGAGGGAGAGAGGACTCGAGCAGCACAAAGGTAGATCGGAAGTCCATATTAGTTTGGAAATGGTCAAGAAATTCCAGGCACGTTTCTCTCTAAATCCCTGGTAATATTCAAAATTGTATTTTCAAGTAAAAACAAGTTTAGAATTTACCCTTTGCTAATTCACGGCTGAATAATCTGCCCAGGGCAAAGCAAACTTTAAGGAAAAAGGAAAAAAAAAAAAGGGAAAAGGAAAGAAAGATGCTGAAATACTGTTAGTCATGCAAATAAAGGCTTCTTTCAGCACATTACAATATACTCCGGATTCGAGGGGAGGAGCTGCCCGTTAAGGGCGAGGAGTTTTTGTTTTTGTTTTCATTTAAAGCTACAAAACAAATCCCGAAATGTCTTAACCGCTCTCTGGAGACACCCGTCCTTGCAGGCAGGCGGTCGGGGAAAGCTTTTTAGCTCCCGGTGCACACAAATATAACCGGGATGGGGGAAACGATGGAGCTCGCCGTGGCGGAGGGGACACGGAGGGACACGGCCGTGGCCCTCGCCGCCGTCGCTATCGCAGCACTGTGCCCCCGTTGCCGCCCGCAGCCTCCTCGCAGGGTCGCTCGGTCCCTGCAAAATCCCTCCGGGGTGCCCCGCCAAGGCGGGGGCCGCAGGGGCCGCGCAGCGCTGCGAGCCCCGCGGCGGGACAGAGTGCGGGGCCAGGAGCCCACGGGGAAGGAGTGATTTTCCGTGACGAACAGAAACACCAACATCGCTGGGTAGATAAGAAAATGGAATACTGTATTTGATTTAGAAAGTTTGTACATATAGATAAACACGCAGTTAAGGAAACAATAGTTTAAGCGTCCTACGTGGAGTTTAAGAAGAGACCCCCCAAAGCTGCTATGAAATACTCAAAATAGCTTTTGCATAAGATAACTACAGTTGCACCCTAAGCTTTTTTTTTTTTCTTTTTCTTTTTTTTTTTTTTCTATCGCTGAGGTCCCTTTTGGAAACCTAGCACGTCAGATTTTGACAGCTAAGTTTGTGCAAGGAACACCGAGTCAAGGAAAATAAAAAGGAGAGACAGAGAAAGGGTGGGAGGGAGATAAAGAGAGGGGAGGAAGAAAGAAAGAGGAGAGCAAATATAATATACAAGCATTTCTACACATATATTACAAACTGGGAAAATGACCGCATCATTAAGATATACATAATTCATATAAAATTTTGAAATAAAAATAAAAATCTGTTACAGTCATAACTATTCTTTTTCCACATTTATAACCAGTACCCACACAGGCAGTGACAGAAGTGTAGAAAAAAAGGTGCTTACGAATAAAATGATTGTCTGCGGAACAAAAAAACAGAAAATTGCATCTTGGCTGAACCATCACTTGGACTAAAAAAAAAAAATAAAAAAAGAAAAAAAGAGAGAGAGGAAGAGAGAGGAAGAGAGAAAGAGAGAAATAGGACCAACAAAAAGGCGATAAACTTTGTTATTTCCCTCTTCAAGGAGTTCCTTTTAATTTTTTTTTTATTTTTGATTTTTGTACAAATTCGATCAGAGTTTGCATTTGTTTGTCTGGTTTCTGTTTGTTTTCCTTTACTATAGAGAATATTTTTTCCCAGATACAAATTTAATCATCATCATCATGCAAGTGGGTGAAATGCGTCCATGGAAAAGCGCAAAGGAGAAATCGTGCTTGTCCTAAAAAGAATACAATTGTCACTTTTGCTTTGTTTTTTTTTTTTCTTCCTTTCTTTTTATATATATAATAATTATTATTTCCCTCCCTCCCCCCCACCCTTCCCGCTGCAGCACCAGCGTTTGTGACTGTTGAAGTTTTAGCTCCATCTCTTGGTGGTGGTGTTGGCTGACGGTGGTGGTGGATTCTCTGATCCCTGTCTGTTTGTTTGTTATTATGTTTGGGTCGGGTTTGGCCTTTTCTTTCCTCCCGGCTGTGTGTGTGCGTGCATGCGTGTGTGTGTCCTGATTCTAGGTTGCCTCGGTTTGTTTTGCTCGGGACGGGGAGAGGGTGCTTGGCTGTTTGGATTTGGATTTTTTTTGTTTGTTTGTTTGTTTTCCGATATCATACATCACATTCCGAGTCGCTGGAGGTTACCGAGAGGATGGAAGTGCCCGTCTCGGCTCTTTCTGTCAAACTGGAGACGCTGGTGGTCGGGCTGGCCGCCGTGGACGGAGACTCGGCCGAGCTGTGTGTCGGGCAGCCGGGCTCTGCCAGCGACCGCATGCCGCTCTGTCCTATCGCCTGGTGCTGGAGCCTGCATCGCGCCGGGAGACAAAACAACAGCACAGCCCCGCTCAGACACCGGGCGCGGCCAATGGGACGGCGCCCGCCCGACCCTGCGCCCTCCCGGGGACGCCCGAGCCCGGGGCCCGGTCCTGCCCGGAGCAGACCCTCCGCCGCAGGGTGCAGTCCCGGCCCGGCCCGGCCGCTATCCCGCAGCGCCCGGCGCAGCCCGGAGCGGCGGGGCATGCAGGGCCAAGCCGTGAGCCCGGGCCGCGCTGCCCCCGCTGCCGGGTCAGACGGAGCCCAGCGCACGCACAGCGACAGGGGCCGCGGTCTGAAACGGGACAGGGAGCGCGGGGACAAGCGCTGCCCTGTGCCCGCGTTTGGAAAGGACGAGCAGCGCCTTCTCTTTCCCCGGAGCGCCATTCATTCATCCCCTCGCCACGGCGGGCCTAGGAGAATCCTTGTGTGGGTGAGACCCTTTAACACCGCGAAAAGCTTCAAGGAGCGGTCCGTAGCGGGCAAGAATCGCACTGGATCCCCATTTTGTGCCCTAGCTAACACCTGCCTAAATATTTCCCAGTGCACAGACGCTCTGGGTCTGCGGTAGCGAAGGAGAGAGGTCCTGTCCCAGGGACACGGCGCTATGAATAAAATAAAAGAAGGAGAATGTGGAACACAGCGCTTCTCTCTCCTTGAATTTAAGTCCTTTTTTCATCTGAAAGCAATAATCAGCTTTAAAGTGTTCGTTCTTTCATTATCAACACTTAAGGAAATATTACATTTGAATTTATTTTTTTTAAGAGGCAATAAATACTTTTTAGGCTCCCTAGCGTATTGTAAATATTCCTCTGGGTCCTTTTATTCCACTCAAAACCCAAAGAAAGCCTAATTCAGGGAAAAGAGCTAGAAGTCCTGGACTGAGCAGCCAGCCTCAACCTCTAGCGCCTAGGATTGCCAGTTTGCCAGTGTGAATCAAAACACACTCTTTGCTCAAATGTTTCTCACCGGGGTATTTTTTATTTAACTTCCTGCAAAGAACACAAAAAACGTAGCCAGTTTGTTCTACATTTCTCATTATTTTAAGTTCAGCGTCTTTGATTTTTCTCCCATTTAAAAATCCTGGTGCATTCATCTGCTGTCAACAGCGTTGAATCAACAAAAGCATCCGTAGGCAACTTCTGTTTATTTACAGTCCTAAGCTGATCTGTTTTCCATTTAATGGAAATTAAATAGCCAGGCACTTTTAGGTTGCATTTCTCCTACAGAATCTTTTAATCAGTAGCACCAGTGCTATAATAAGGAAGAATTTAAGAGACAGCATTTATAAGAAGGAGTTTTTGTTTACACGCTTACAGTGGTAGCGAAACTTAAATTGAAATAAAATCAGTGTGTCAAACTAGATTAAGGATCCATTTCCATTTGCAAAATAACTTTTACGACAGTAATGAGAAAGAAAGAAAACAAGCAAAAGAAAGGAAGAAGGGTGCTTCGCTTTTTTCATGGCAAAACAGAAAGGAGAAAAAAAAAAAAAAAAGGCACCGAGAGACACGAAAATAAATAAATGCAAGTGTAAATGCACAGAAAGCACAAGACTAGGAGGCCAGGTCGCCATGTGGTGTAAACACAGAAATGGAAATGCAGGGGGGAAAAAAGATTCCCGGTCTCTTAAATGTTTTTTGTTTGTTTGTTTTTTCGCTTCTCCATGAGCCAAAGAGCTCTGGGGTATGCCTGTGCTGGTCCCGCTGCGCATGCAGAGCAGCCCGAACAATTGGAGCAGAGCCGCCGGCACCGCCGAAACCCGCTCTGAACCGCACAGCCTGCCTCGGCCTGTCGGCGGGGGAACCGCGCCAGAGCCCGGCCAGGCACAGATGCCGGCAAGCCGAAAGCCAAACCGGAGCCCACCGACCCGGAGCCGTGGGGGTTTCCGTCCCCCGCCCCAGCCGCCGCTGCAGGGAGGGAGGGAGGCCGGGAGAGTAGGGCGCTGCCCCGGCCGCAACCGATGTGCTCTGGGCACATTTACACACGCTAGCCCACGGAGCTGCCCACGCCCGCCGGGAGCCCCAGCCCTGTCCGCAACCCGGGAGCCCGTAGGGAGCCGGGCCAGGCTTGGAGGCACGTCAGGCAACTTTGAGCCGTGCCTATCCCCGTCGCATCCCTGTGGCTTCCGGGAGGAGACCGACCCGCCCGGCGGGGGAACCGATTTCTCCCCGATGGAGAAGAGAAGGAGGAGAGGCAGAGGCGCGCTGCAGCCCAAGCGGCTGCCGAGCAGCGGAGCGCGGCCGTCCGCCCGCAAGGTCCCGCCGCCCACCTCGTCCCCCGCCTCGGAGCGTGGCACCGCAGTCCCACTGACCTGTTTTTAGCCGCCGCTGCTCTGTCTCTTTGCCTTCGGTTTTTGAACCAGTTGCCTACTTGCGTGGGGGTGAGCCCCGTGGCCTGAGCCAGTTCCCTTTTCTTGCTGGGGTTGGGGTAAGGGTCCTGCAGGTACCACTCCCTCAGGAGGCTGCGAGTCCTCTCCTTGAAGCAGTGCGTCTTCTGCTCGCCATCCCAAATGGTCCTGGGCAGCGGAAACTTCTTCCTCACCCTGTATTTATCAACCGGCCCCAGCGGGCGACCCCTTAGCTTCTCGGCCTCCTGGTAGTGCGCTTCGAGCCACATGGCCTGCAACTTGCCGTGGGACTCCTTGGTGAATTTGTGGTTCTCCAGGATGTGGTAGAGGTCTCGGAAGTTGCCCGTGTGGAAGGCCACCACCGCCCGGGCGCGGAGGATGGACTCGTGCTTGTTGATGGCCTCGCATGCCCCCGGCGCCACCGGCAGCGACCAGAGGAACCTCCCCAGCCTTTCTATGTCTCCAGTCTCCTCCAGCGTCTCGCAGACGCTGGCCACTTGCTCCGGGGAGAAGTTGAGTGTGGGCAGCTGAAACATTGACAACTCTTCGTGGGGTGCCCGGGAGCTGCCGCCTCCACCGCCGCCGGCACCGGGGCTGCAGCCCGAGCCGCTGCCGCTGCCGCCGCCGCCGCCGCCGCTGGCGAGAAGGAGGGAGCGGTGGTGCGGATCGGCGGCGAAGTTTGGCAGGAAGAAATGGGTGGGATAAAGCTCTAGCGGGGACCTGAACACCATGGGATGACCGGGGAGAGGGAGAGATAAATCAAGGAGAAAAGAAAGAAAGGGAGGAAGAAGGGAGGAAAGGGCACACGCACCGCGCACGCATCCACACCCGCACACGCACACACAGCCACATAGAGGCACGGGGGCACACACACTCACACGCACACGCGGGCACACGCACACGCGCGCTCACACACACCCCACACGCACACGCACTCACACACACCCGGCCCCGCGCCGCCGCCGAGTCAGGATTCAGTGATTCAACAGCGATCGCCCTAATGACAACAGCCTCATAATATCTCCCCTAAATCCACAGTGAGTGCAGAGCTGAAACATTTTGTTTCGCTTTTCTATTGGTCTTCTGAGTGTCGTTGTGGCGTTGCCATGGCAGCCGCTGCCAATCACTGTCAGCCCTGCCAATCATTACGGAGTACGTAAGGAAGGTTTTTACCACTTCGCCCAAATGCACGGGGGGGAGGGAAGCCGGGCGGTTGGTGGAAAAGCCTGGTTTGTTGTCTGGATTTTTTTTTTCCTCCTTAATCTTTGCAACTCCGAATCTCAGCACTTCCCCTTCTCCCTGTCTCTCCCCCCTCCTTCTCCACACCCCTCCTAAATAAGGGATCAAATAATGCGAAAAGCAGTGTGCACATATTTGTTGAATGGGATGAGCAATTAGAGGGTGGAATATTATTGTGATCTTAACGAGCCTCGTTAAAGCTAAAGGAGATATGGGGGAAAAGTAAATGGGCCAGGCTGGGATACACGTTCGGATAAAGGGCTCCTAACTGAGACAATTTACACATGATTTGCACGTAGTTTCACTTCATTCTGCCTATCTGAGCACTAATAGTGCCGGGGAAGAAAAGAAAGATGAGATCATTAGACCCATCCTCACGCCGGTGACCCTCCCAGAAGCAGGCACATACAGTACAAGCTGGGTTTAGCCCTGGTTCACCGAAGAGTCTCTCCTCCCCTCTCCTGCTCCCTGCCCCTCTCCGCGGAACGAGGGATCCGCTGCCCGCGGAGTTCCGCGGCCGCTCCGCCGGGAGCCGCTCAGGGCTCCCAGCCTGGATCCGCTCCGGCCGCCCGGCTCCGCGACCGACCCCGGCGGCGCCCCTATCGCTGCCTCCCCCGTCCCACTCCTCGCTTCCACGCCCTCCCGCTCCTACTCGTCTTCCCTTTCCTTCTCCTCTCTCTTCCCTAGCTCCACTTTGTTTTTCTTGCGTTCTGGCTTTCCTCCTACTACTCGCCTCACCTCCTCTCGCCCCTTCCTTTCTCCGGAGCCCAACGACCTTACGAGGCTGTTCCTCACCCCCAAATCCGCCAGGGCTTTACACCGTACCTCTCCTTTTCCCTTTTCCTCCTCAATTTCTCGCCCCAACTTCCAAGGGTCTTGTGCAGGGACGAGGAAAGGGATGTGGGAAAAAGTGGATTTGAGCCCTTTTTTTTTTTTCTTTTTTTTTTTTTTAATTGAGAGCAGGGAAATTATCCGTGGTGGTGGCTTGAATCCATCCCTCAGTAAGACACAGCTGGGTCGTCAGACTTTGCTACCATGCAACTATATTTATTATTAGGTATGTTGCTTTTAAGAAGATTTAATCAGCATCTTGAGCTGGTAACTCTTTTGTTTGGTTTCTGTAGCTATGGAAGTGTGATTTACAGAGATTTGTACGGGTCATGGACATCTTTCCAGACTTACTGTGTATATTTAGACAGGACTTTGCTTGGTGTTAAAAAGTGTATATTTTGAATAGGTTCACACACAGTAGCAAACAATACCGACATTGTAAAGGCATGTACAACGAGTATTGAAACGCAGCATCCAGACTTCAACTAATCTGCCCTCAATAAAGCTGAAATAATTATCCTAAGCCGCCTTTCTAGAAGAAAAATCATTGAGGAATTCAAAACTTTTTTAAAGATCTTTTCTGCATTCCGATGGAGATCGAGGGGTGAGGCTTGGAGCCCAAACTACTTTCAGACATCAATGGAGGGAAGGAGGGGGGGAAGTGAGATATTACAATTAAAATGTGAAAACATAGCGTGACTTGCCCTATCCGAAGGATAATAATAATACTGCTATGGGTGGTAGAAGTTCTTTAGCTGCGCTCCAAACTGGTTGTGATCCTTTCACAGCGCACTCCTCGTGAAATAATTCCAAGTGGCAGATGAATAGGTCCAGTTGGAAGAGCTGCTGGACTGGAAAAAGCTCGCTGTATTACACATTCATCTGATTTCCACTAAACTGTCATCGGTGTGCTACATGGCTTCATAGTCCTAATGGAAATAATTCGTCCTCTTAATTTTTGGTGATCTGCTTAAGCACTTCTGTTAACAGACTTGGGAAAAACTTCTTTCTACCCTCCCACCTTCCCTGGCTCATATTTCCAGTCGTACAGCTAAGGAGGGAAAGAGACTTCTCAGCCCCTCTACAAATCGACTTGGAGGTATTAATTGGACAACAATATGTTTAACCAAAGATTTTAATACACACACACACACACAAAATCTTTTTCTTTTTAATCCTTTCCTTTTATGTAAAGGATTACAGAGGGGAGAGTGGGGGGAATTCCTGCGGGAGTTTCTTAATATTTGATTCCATCTTTTTCGAGCTGCAAATTAAACTACCTTAAAATGTATTTCCAGAAAAAAATCCAAACCGCCTCTGTTGTTTTGGGTTGCTTGGGTTTTTTAATCTCACGGACTATCATACACTGGTGGTTCAGTTTTAGGTTGCAGCCACTCTAATACTCTATTAGTATTCCTGATGAATCTCTGAAAGCTTCTACATATCTACATATATTCTTTCTTTCTCTCTCTCTCTTTTCCTTTCTCTCCCCCCTTGTTTTATTTTAAAACACACCCCCCCCCCCCCCCCCGACATATGGAAAATGTAACAACTGAATTTCTGGCGAAAATATTTCTTCCACAATATCTTTCCGTAGGACAATGCACGTATTCTATGTGCGTGTGTGTTTAAAATCAAACAAACCCACAACCCTGCCTATCAGCTAATATCAAGGTCTTCCTGAAGTCCAGTCTCCTCTCTGTGCCGCTAAGGTCCAGCACGGGAGCTCTGCTAGCCAGAGGCTCTTACGAGGACGGAGACAGCATCCTCAAACATTTCCGCCGGCTCCCGCGGCTGGAAGACTCGGGTCACCGAGGCGCGGTGGTTGTTAGCCAGACCTGGGGGAGCGGATCCTGCGCTTGCCCAGCCGGGCCGGGGATTTAGCGTTCCCCTAAGCCTGTTAGGGACACACTCTCATGTCCTGAAATGTGCAAGCAGATAATTGTTGGCGCTCCAGCTTTGTGTGAGGAGGCCAGGGTGTAAATGGCTTTTAATGACTGCAGCTGCTGGCTGCAAACTGTCAATGGGATCGGCTAATGCGGAGCCCGGAGCCGCCGGGCGCCCAGGCGCAGCAGCCGGGCGGGCGCAGCCGCGGGCGCGGAGCGGCGCGCGCAGCGGGGCGCCCCGCCGGGCGCGGAGCCGGGCGCGGTCGGCGGCTGCGGGAGCGCGGCGGCGGCGACGGACGGGGCTGGGCAGAGGCTGCCCTCTCGGCTGGGGAAATCCTTTCCGGATCCTGTAAGTTTGTTACGGGTAGGCGGAGGTCCCGCGGGGGAGCGCCCAGGGGGTGCGTGGCCTCCCCCTCTTCCCCCCTGGCCCTTCCCCACCCCCGTGCTGGGGCCCGGGGTCCGGGGCCGCGCAAGGCGGGGTCCCTCTGCTCTGACGATGGCCATCACCTCCAGGCCGGGGAACCTGCCGTCCGTTTCCAGTCAATCTTACTTGGTCCCACATGATTTATTGTTTCAGCTGCTAGGATGACATGTGTCTCTGCAGGGCAGGGGAGCAACCCTCCCCTTCTCCCCAAAAACCTCCCCCTAAACAAACCCGGGCAAACCAGTGTTCTCTTCTGGAGAGAGCCTTACGAAGTTGAGTGTGTGTGTGTGTGTGTGTGTGTGTGTGTGTGTGTGTGTGTGTGTGTGTGTGTGTCGGTCTGCCAACCTGGAGGACTTTTCTGGGAAGAGGAAGGGAAGCAGAGAGAAGCTCTTTTATTTCACTGCTTGTTTTGATGGTCGTTCCCAGGAGGCTGCGATTTTCTGCTGCCTAGTTAGTGCCCCTTAATCCTGACTCAGGAGTGATTCAGTCGGCGCTTGCGAGCGCTGATTATTTTTTTTATCGGGGGAGGCAGGGGTTCAGACGGGGCTGGGGGTAGCGGTCAAAGTACCGGCGAGAGGAAAATGCAGCACTGCGGCCGCGGCGAGGGGGAAACCAAGGGGGGGAGAAAGGGAGAGACAGGGACAGGTAAAGGAGAACCCATCGCGTTGTTCTTGTTAGGCTTTTTATATTATTAATGCAACGATTTAATTGGATTTTTGTCGGTCTTCAGGGGCAAGGGCTGACAAATTTGTACGGATGCTATCTTTAAAAACACATCTATCTTCCTTCCTTCCTCTTTCTTTCTTCCTCTCTTTCTTTAGTCACGATTTCCCGGGATAAATGAATGCGCATTTGATGGGTGTGTAAGATGTGGCCCATCCGGCTCCTGTAGCAGAGCTCTTTGCATGCGGTGTGTGCTATTACGGATCGTGATAACAAACAAGTGACAAGTGATATTTTTTAAATTGGATTGGCTTAAGACGTCGAGGGGATATTTAGTTAGTGGTCCAAAATATTGCTTCACTTTCCAAGTTAAACTTCCGGGGACCCCTCACACGTTTTATTTTGCATAAACAGAGAGGCTGGATGAGGGAAACGTGAAATATCAACAATTTTTTTTTTTAATTTTTTTTAAATTTTTTTTTAAAATTTTTTTAAAGTGAGAAAAGGAATGCAGCTCGCCTCCGCGGTGAGATGACGGCTTGGGAAGCAGAAAACTTTCCCGAGGGGGTGAAGGAGCTGCAGCTGCCTCCCGGCTGGGCTGGAATGCTTTCCCCCATCCCTCTGGATCTGCTGGCAGCTCCTGCCAGTCGAAAGTTACCTGCTCTGCAGCAGAAGCAGCCGTACAGTCGCTTGCTCCTGAATTAAACACAACTCTTAATGATGTAGCATTATCAACAAGGGACACTTGACTGACTGATCTAGGTATGATATATGTGCTGGGCGTCTAAATTAAATATTAAGTGAAATACTTAGCTCTAATTAGAAATCGTAACCTAGTGATGAAAACTTGAAGAAACAAATTGTGGGGGGAGGAGGGGACAGGTTTTAAACGCTGCAGAGAGGAAAGTAGCGGTGATGTGTACAGTCTGACATATTGGCAACAAGCAGCAACTTTGAAATGATTGACGTGTCATTAAAGCCAT